TATTGGTGTTTCTAAGGACCAGACCACCCTATAGGGAAGTCTACCCGTGAGTACTATACCCGTGAAAACTTCATTTGTGCAATTATCGAGGCAGAAGTTGGATTCTATGAAATCGAATGTCTCTCTCGTGCATCGCGTATACATACACGGTTCCCGTTGTTGTGTAAGCGCACGGACACAGCTCACGGCCCACTGAGTCTTCCCTCTTAATCCTGTGATTGCCGCGGCGGTCTTGATCGCTAGCAATTATTAACAAACCGACTCCACCGTTAACAGATTTTGATTTGACTTGACTGAATCGCGCACTGTGAATACCCTCATTGAATTGAGTGTGAGCGATATTGACCGATACCTGAATTCACGTGATCTGACTGTACCGTGACGCTAGTATGAATCCAGCACAAACTTCAATACAGCAATTTCAATACAGTGATTATTTTGTAAATATCTCGTTACCTATTAAGTTTTGGACGTATGAAGATCAACACATTTTTACTAAGAATTTGATACTCTATCGGTCTACGGTACAAACAATAGGTCATTCCGTTAAAAAAATCAAGGTGACCTTGATATCTCTGAAATGCCTTCACTCACAAAAAAAGCACGTAAATACCTTATAAGATGTGTTCCTTGATGCCATTTAAATTCCACGCCTCAAAATTTGCATAAAGTGTACCGTTAAGTTATTGTTTGAGGTGATCAAGTTAGTTGAAACACCCTGTATATTCATGCTACACTTATATTACGATATTGGAACGCCAGACGGAACATTAACCTCGAACAGCGTAACAGTAAATTATTATTGAACGCTATTTTCAGGCAGTTTCATTGCGGCCCGGTGAGTAATGAAATTTCATGCTACTCAAGGATTCACGCCCCATTGGCTTTGATAGACTTTCAATCCCCTTCGATTATCATTCCCTATCATTCTCACTTTTCTCGAGTCGCGGCAACGATCTAAAACTATGTACGTATAGATACTGCGAGGCTGCCTCGCGAGGCGTGTCTCGCAAAGTGTATACGTGCTTCGCATTGAGGCTGCCTTGCGGTGAGTCAACGATTGTCGGTTTTTTGACCGAATCGAAGGTGCCTCGCAGTTCGTTCCTTGCTTCGTTTGCACGCATATTGTTACGTGATACTCACAAGAAGTATAAGACCAGTAGAACACGGTCGATGTTCGAACATCCCGCTGACGTATGAGTTAAAACCTTAATTTTAATTGTATACCCTCTATACCAGGGTTTCCCAAACTGTGTTCCGCTGAACCTGAATAGGTGTTCCGCGACAATTTGGAAAGGTTTTATCATCAAAGTCATTAAGTGCTTTATTTATTTATATTTTTATGTTTATATTATATTATAGTTTTATATTTAAAAATAATTACTGAATAAATAATGTGTTTTAATGACATTTTTGTTTACTTTTTACTAGTAGGAATTACCCAACTTAAAAAATAAGCTAAGTGTTCCGTTAAAATTTCCGGGTTTGCGAAGTGTTCCATTGCAGTAAATGTTTGGGAAACCCTGCTCTATACCGTTCAGCAATCACGATCTTTTGCAATAAGTTTTCCTAATCCTATATTTTCTATAGTTAATAACAGCAACTAATATTCTTTGGCAGAACTCCGCTTTATATTTAATTTCCTACAATACACGCGTTCATTTCCATTAAATATTCTACTTTTTTAATCTTCTCGACAACCGTTGTATACAATAAGCAAAGGTTCTAACATTTCTTACTTCTGGAATGATGGTTGATATCGCTTGCTTTGACACACGGAAAAGATACTGCATACTCGTAAAGGAGTCTTCGGTAGTTAAAAATCTGAATGTAATAGCCACTTCTTCTTTGACGTTAATCGCTTGTCTCCTGTATCCTGTACGTATCATTGCTTCACACTTTTCAATCAATTAATGCAATTAAATATTCGAGATCAGTCATTGCCACGCGGGTAAAATTTTATACGGTATCTTCAATTGATTCAAACGCCCTTGAAATCACAAATTTAAGCAGAAATATTGATTTAGTTGGATTATCCTTACTAATTTAACTTGAAATCACAATGGATCTGGCATTCATCTATTTCCATGTTGCAGTCAGTTTTTCTATAATTCTCTGAACCACCATCGTCGTCTTCGTCTCTGTGTCTTTTTATTTTTCAAAGTTCTGTAAATCACCATCAAGGCGAACGTTGCAGCAGCAGATGTCATGGTTCCCTCGCAGTAACTGCTGGCTCACTCTGCCTCGCTTGCTTGTCCCACGTAGGTTACTTAGTCTACATATTTATGTAAGATGCGAGGCAACCGATCGAGACAGCTGTCGGTTGAGGCCGCCTCGCGAGGAAATTTCGCAGTGTTTATAGTCTATACATACATAGCTTAATACGCTCAAGGGGTTGGAAGGGGGCGCCAGTTGCTTAAGTCCCCATCCGGTATACATAAGTGCGAATGCGGATGCATCGGCTAGATGTGATGCAACGTGAGAGAAGCATTGGAACAATTGCGACCCGGTCTATTACACGTGGATACACGTACGCAACAATTTCACGGATAGCCGTGCATGGATGCTCACTTCCGAGAGAAACAGAGAGGAATACAGGACTCCAGAGTTTCTACGACATTACGTGAACCGTGTCAGTGACAATTAAGACTGTCTTTCGTTCCGGCGTCGTTCAACGGGTCCTCCAGGAAGTTTATTGGTCCGCTGCGAACATTTTTCCGGTCTCCTCGCCACGCTCTACTTGTTTTATCGAGCGCAATACACAGGTTCCTTATATGTAAATGTTTCTTTTTTTCTTTCTATTTTAAGGTTTCCTGTACAGTACAAACCCTCCGTTTCCGCGAGTTTATGCCATCCTCTTCCTGTGTTGGTGCGTCTATGTTATCCTAGCTTTGCGTTTGAATAGAGTGTTTGGTCTTTTCACCTTATCTTGTTATTTCTATGTCTAAGAGTTTGAAATTGGAGCTAGGTGAAATGTTTGCGATACGCGGGGAATACTAAATAGATCGTTTTGTGTTGGAACCTGTGTAAAATTGCGAAAACAGTGTTTTATTTAGATTCAGTTTGTGGAGTCGAAGTAGTACAAAGACTGTTTCGTGTAGGAAATATATTTTCCTAGACTTTCTGAGTTTTTGCGTTAAGATAGCATTCTTTTGTTTACGTTATTCTTACTGTTAAGAGATATTTCAAGTAATGTAAAATTCAAATATTCTATTTTGTGCTGCAACTTATTCAAACAAAAATATTTTGTTCACCGAATTTTCGTTTAAAAATATTTCTTCCTTAAACTTTACATAACTCTGTTTTGAAACTCGAACATTCCGTACATTTACGATTTCGATATTCTAATTTTTTCTTGGAAACTGTAATATTGTTATGACATCTTATTATTAGTCAAAGTCAATTGTAGGTTCTATTTTGGTTTAACATTGAAATTTGTATAATATCCATTACACGCCACAACATTGAAGAAAACCATTTTAACGAAGATTAGCTTTAGTTATTTATTAACTTAGGTATTCATATATATGTTAAACATTTTATTTATGTTTAGTTTAAGTAACGTCGTTTTATGTAGAAGCAATTTCTGTGGTAAATGTAAATTGTAAGCGTAAATTCGAAACTCATTTTGAACAGAAAATTACTTTTAAACTGGTCAGTGTTGCAGAAGTTAATACAATATAGTCGAACGAAATTGAAAATTTTCGAGGTTTGAGAAATATCTGCGAAAAAGAAGACGTTAAAATCTAGTTTGCAATGTATTGATATTATAAATATTACACATCATCTGTAGTTTACGGGTAAAAGTATAGCGTAAGAAAAAATAATGTCTTTATTCGCGTGTCGAGTTACAAACACTTAAATTGCGGACATAATTTGCATTAATCTCGAAACCGCGAACTTAATTAACACTTTCACTACGCCTCATTCTGGCAGGAATGTGATCACGTAATAAGGGATAAAGATAAAATAAGAATGGCATCCTACATCAGATTCTTATGTTACGCTATTCAGTTTATTATTAGGCTTATTAGTATAATATATTGTACTGTTTTCTTAATAAAATGATAATAATGCTTTATATATATTTCCACCTTTTCCGTGTTAAAAATGGCCTAGGATATTGGGGAACAGTAACGGATACCACAAAGGGACCACGTGCTTTTAATTTTCTTGGAAATTGGTAGTGACAGAATTTAATTAAAGCAACGGTATATTCATAAATGGAGTACGTTCATTTTGATGCTAAAGTGTAAAATTATAAAAATTAGAATGCTTCGATTTTTTAAAATTTTGCATAGTCGTTGAGCGTACAAAAATTGTCTGCGTTTATTTTTTTATGGCTGTAGTATCGTATAAAAAAAAATTGTTGTGAAATTGTAGATTCTACAGGAATATACTGTTTCTTGTAAGACGATCTTTCCTTTAAATTTTACATTCAACTTTTTGAACTCTTAGTACATGCAATTAATTTTGGAACACAGATACAATTTTGTGGGTGGTAATTACTGGGACTATCACGATTATTCTACTACAGTACAATAGTTGAGAATTATTAATTTTAACTATTTTGTGCTGTGAGCCTCGAGGGTCTTCTCCATTCTATCCGGATGAAGGTTAATAAAGCTTAAAGTGAAGAAAGGAAATATCCACCTGTCGTTTTCCTCTTTTGTTTGTCAGCCACAGGAGGATATGATAAACGTAAACTAAATACATGAAGAACTAACGATTAAACAGATTATACGATGTTAGATTACTTGCGGCGAGGTCGTTTTTCTATCTCATTTGAAACGCTAATCTTATCTTAAACTTGTCGAATCTACACGTTCGACTTATTTGCACGACGTTCGTCTGTCTTTGTTTCAGTCTCGTTAAAAGTTGAACGGTCTTTCCGCTATCAACGATCCGATCTCACCGAAGGACGCGATTACTCTGTCATTTCGATCGACCGTGAACTGTATCGGAGGCTTAACGTGAGCTTGACCTTGAATTGATTTTACCTGGAGTTGACGGTGTTGGGTGGCACAGGTCTGTTGCAAGGATCTTCGAGGTCGCATTGGCTGCGTAGGAACACTTCCAGGAGACCCATAAACAGCATAAAAGATGGACCGCCGCACGTCGAGGCGAGAGTCGGTCCAGTTGAAGCAGTCAATGGACAGTTGCAGCTCATCTGTGAACAACAAGTTTAACTAGCTACTAGGCGAACACCTTGAAGGACTCGCATATAGGGAACGGGTAGTCACGAGGTAAAGTTATTTATGGTTTATTTCATGTATTATTAATTTATAAGATATTGAAATTTTTTTACCAACTATTTTTGCACAATTGAAATCACAGATCAAAGGGAAAATACATAGTCGCCAGTCAGAAATTAAGGGGTTAATTTTTTTAAAGGGGTGAGCTTATTTATAGATTGTGTAGGGAAATGTCAATTGTTCGTTGTTGCAGTAGTAGGAGTATTATAGCCTAAGCGAGAAGTTTGTACAGTGCGAATTTAGTCTTATGTAAGTATAAGGGCATTTTTATGGCAAGTTTAATACAAATTCCTAACCGAAATAAAACGCTGCTATAAGGTCACATAAAATATTTCGTGTTGGTAAATATTGTAATGGACGACCTTATGTCTCAGCAACAAGAACAACAGAAGTGACTAAATAACATAGTTAGTACGAGCAAAAATCTAATGTTATTAAGTTCGGTATTGACTTGAGCAGTTTTGAAAATTTACATTAGAATCTTTTTGTTTATTATGTTATTCGTTCAGAGTTTTTATTTCATTTATTCATTTCATTACTTTTATATACATGTATATAAAAGTATAGTTATATTTGCATGTACTTTGTAGGCAACAAATATATATACACATTAAACTTTTCTATATTTACTATAAAAACAATACAAAAATTCAATGACCCATTTATTCCCACTACCTGACCCAAATCTCCCCCCATAAGGGAGGCATGGGCCAAATAACTAGTTTTAGAACTATTATATTTTTAAAGATTCCTGTGGAATAATAAAATGAAATCATGACGGAACATCAATGGCAAGACCTTACTAATTATAATTCTTCAGACTTAAAGCGCCTTTCTCTTTCATTTTAATCACTATTACAAGTTAATTGAAAATTGACCCAAACCTATCGACTCTTCCCTACATCTACAGGTGGTGTAAAATACACGGACGAAACATTATTTGTTAATGTCAAAGGTGAAAGGAGTAGTACTCGTCACAAAAGTACAAGAAGTGGCCTAAGGATTACCGGGCCTCTGCACCGTAGAGTCTCCTTTGATTATGAATTTATCAATGTTTGGTTATTTTTCGTGGTACTTTCCACTATCCACTGTGAGCCAAGGACTACAAGGTCAAATGGAACACCTCGCAAGGTCTAGTTTCAGCCTTGAAGAGAGAAGATAGAATTCGGGAATTGATAGTTAAAGCTTCACAAAGCCGTACTGCCTCAGGACGTCTCGACCCAAGTCTGTACAACCTACTTGTGTCGGGAAACCCGGGGTCGCCAAGCCCGTCCGGCTACAAGGACCAGTATTGGGGGTCATTTCATAATAATAAGGACAACGATGACAATGATTCATTCAAATAATAATATTAATTCGAATATAACTAATATTATTATTATTATAATAACGATACATTTAAAATATAAGTTACATGTGAATTCGTGTTATTATTACTATTATTGCCCTTATTATTATGAAATGACTGTGTTATTTATTCTGTTTATTAGTTTTGTAGTTGCGAGTACGTTGAACTCTAAACAGCTGATCAAGATTCGTAAACTCTCCTATGCCCGACAGCGTGTGCGAATGAGTGTGTGTGTGTGTGTACGTGAGCGTCGGCGGCATTATGATTGTCGAAATGTTTTGATGTTCCGCGGACGAGTAACGAAACGCCAGCGTCCGCTAAAACGAATAGCGGGCGTCGAAGTCCGTTGACTCGAACGTGTTAAACAAAGAAAGAACACTAAGAACGTTGACCGACGCACGGATAAAAAGGACGTGTCCGCGGCGCGTGGGCAGGAGTTATACGAAAACCACGATACGACGATCACGATTACGGATTACGATTACGGATTTCGGTTACGGTTACGAATCACGATTGTTTGCATATTACGGCGGCGAGTGTATGTTCTGTCTCGATTTTGTATTGTTTCTATCGTCTCGTTCTCTGTATAATAAACGGATAGATATTCCAATAAACATTCTATTCCTACAGTTTTAATTTTTGAATTGTTTATCTTTATAAATTCTATATAATTCACATTTTTTTAAAATCCCGAAATTCCTGGGATTGTATTCCCTAATCGTGTCCCATTGTTGCCACAAAGTTACGGGTGGATGGGAAACTGGTTAACAAACCGTGAGAGTTGTGAAGAAAACTGAATGTCGTACTTCTTTTTCCAATAACAACAGCCGTTTAATTGCCCCTGAGGTAACAAATCGTGACAATCCCAAAGCAACGAAAGCGTCGAGGCCCGAGAGTCGGGTCACGTATTCGCGCAATCGATGCAACGAATCCGTAACGAGGAGATGGCGCACGATGCTTCGGCATCGGTGGGGTTCGCCGATTTTAGATGCCTGGAATAGGTAAGGATTCTACGAAGAACGACGACGACGGGACTCGGCGAATCGCGTCGGGGCTTTCTAATGTGACCCGAAAGGTCTCCTCTGGTCCCCCTCTGTTTGCGCTACAATTCTGCAACGGTATTATATTTTTTTACACGCGGCGTTTCTTCTTCCTACAGCGTTGTTCATTGTTGCCCTGTGTCGCTCAACATTCTGTACTACAGTGAACCCCCTCCCCCCATCCCCGCGACTAAGGCGAATAGCTATTGTTGTTCCACACATGTCGATACACGAGCTGCAATATTATTGTTGCGCGCCTCTTCGTTCCTCATTGTTCGTAGGCTTTTCTCGCGCGCCGCGCCGTTTTTGTACTTTCTTTTCTTCGGCACGGAGAACATCAGGAGATAGAATGAAACATATCGAACGGCGAAATTGTAGATCAACTTTTGCTGTTTATAAATAGTCTCTTGGTTTTAAGCAATTTTATTGGTTGGCTTTTTGGTTAACACTTTGAATGCGGAGTAGTCGGGGAGTAAACGATTACTATACATGATACTTGGCGTAGGTCGCAATGGAAAATTTTGTGTATCGTTATCTATAAATAGAGAATATTGTGTTTCATTTTCTAGAGAGAATTCTGCGTATCGTTCGCTATAGAAAATTTTGTGTGTTATCCTTTGCAGAGAATTCTATGTTGGTGTCTATAGAAAATTCTATCTATCATCAACCATAAAGAATTCTACGTATCGTCCTCTACAGAGAATTCTACGTGTAGTCCTATATCGAGAATTTTGTTGTGTTGTCTTCTATAGAAAATTTTATGTATCATCCTCTACAGAGGCTTTTACATGTCGTGTAGTCTATACAGAAGCTTACGTTTTGTCTTCTACAATGCTATATGAAATATTAATTAAATAATAAAACATGTAATTAAATCTTGATTGTGTTCTTTCATTTTAAAAATTACTTTTCTTCGTAGTGATGCCCTGGAAAACCTATTAAACATTGTGTGTTCATGTTTTTCTTATGAATAGTATATGTCCTATATTGAGAATGCACCTGGATTAAAAAGTTATTGTTCATAATTTATTTAAAAAAATAATACTCAGTGAAGTAAAGAAAATCGTTGAAGTTTTTTACTTTTGACAAGGATTATCTTAAAAGTTTTAAAGAGTTATGCGTTCTATCAAAGTGTCATATTTTTCAGGCGTTATTTCTGTTTAAAATCATGCAAGATTCACTTTCCTCCTCGCCCCACCCCATAAGTTATTATTGTTTAAAGCGTCGCGTGACACGCACTTCAGCGGCGAGTCGCGTTGTACGAGACGCGTTGCAGACTACACTTACACAGATTAAGATTAAAATAAGAAGACCTCCAAGACGATGATGATTCATTATAGATAATAAATTTTAGATAAATAAATTAATACATTGTAAAGTTCTAATAAAAAGTTTATTATCTTTGTTAATAAGAATAATTGTATAGATTTTTGTTTATTAATAGACAAGTAATAAATAAAAGTTTATTAATAAAGAATAATAAAAATGACAATGCTTTTTTTCTTTATAAGTTGAAAATCCGTATGGTTAATTTATTATATTCACTAATTTATTAAAATATAACACTTATTCTTGTTTAAATATTTTTAATTTTTTCTGATTAAATGTAATAAATTCATTGATTCAAGAATTATGGATTACTCTATTTGTTTGAAAAGCCTGAACAGCTAGTTTTCAAATATAATTCATTATTCACACGTCATTATAATTTTTTAGGCATTTTCGAAGCTCTGATAAAAAAATGTTTCAAACAAAGATTAATCAGCACTTCCTATTCTACAAATTCCAATATAAAAAATGAAAAAAAAACATTTTATTCATAATAAAAAATAAGGTCACCTTAATTTTTTTAGAGTCACTATATATTTTTTACTTAATAATATTATAGCTGATGTTAAGACGAATTCAACGACCTATGTTAAAACAGTTGTGAACCTCTAATTCGTCGATTTGGCCCACTGTGCGGCGGTGCTTTAGAGCGGCACGTCACACTTTGATTTGCGCAGCGACAGAATCACCCTGTAGTTTAGATATTGCCACTAGGCCCATTGCCACGCGAGGCATTTCCCCTGCACACGTACTTTCACGCACACACAAAATCGTTCTCCTACCACGTTGTGTACGCCGTCGCCACCTCTGTTGTTTTTTTTTCTCTTCAATTATGGTAAAAACATTCAGATATGTATAACTTCTAGAATTCAAAGCATTAATAGCCACCATAATGATACAAATGGGTGAACAGATCGAAAACCGAAGTAGACCTAGTTCAAGTTCTGGATGCGAGCCACCACCTAAGTAAAGTCAAAAGCTGGACTGAAATTGTTCTTGAAATCAGGCTAGACTGTATAAGTCATTACCCTAAAAAAATGGCACTTCAAAATACTCTAAAAAAAAGTAATCGAATATAAAATTAAATCATTTTTCTTCCACTTTAAAAATTCGTCACCGAAGAGGTTAAGAAACCCATTATTTCATTTGAAATTCTAGCATCCTGCAAAGCGGGAATGTATATTCCGTCATCTCTCGAAGATTTATTTTGTCACATCGAATAAATCACTGTTACATCTAGTGTCTATATTTCATCTTAAGACGTTCTCTCGGTCAACTATAAAAAAAAATTATAGAAATAGAAAAAGTGACACGAGACAAGTGAGCGACGCATAACAGGATACCGCGCGCTAGTGTGACAAACAAAATCGCGCCGTACACACCTTCAGCACAGTTACGTTCACTGACCGAGAACCGCTGTTCTGTTCGCCTATGACGAAAGTCACGCAGCTTCTCATTTTTTTGACGCCTTTTTCCCGCACTTTTAATCGGCAGCCCGTCTACTCGCAATAGGTTAATTATCTACCGGGACAGCGCGTCCTGCCGAGAGAACTCGGATGTCGAAACCTTGCGCGAGCTATGAAATTTCGTGTCCTCGAGAATGTGTCGAATGTACCTTATCAAAATGCAACACCGCATCCGGCGAGTGGACGCAACAGTGTCAATGGGTGTTTACCAACATGGTTCAAGTAATACTCCGTCACGAGGGTGAAATCGAGGAGTTTGTTCTTCGATAAATTTTATTTTCACTTCACCTAACAAAAAGCTACGAATAATACTTCATCCCGAACACATGTTCGAATATCGAGACGCTAAGCCCTAGCTTGACTCTAAA